GCAGAGCCAAGCCCTGGCCCACAGGGAGTTTCTGTGGGCACCAGCATGGAATTTTCCTCTCAGAGCCTGACTGTTCCTCACTGTTACTCAGTCACTCTTGGTGAGCCTGTGGAATTCTGGAAAGGTTAGACCTTAGAGAGAAGTGCTAATGTTGCCAGGATCCGACTTGCTCCACGCACGGATGGCTCCAGGGTTTGGCTGAGCACTCACTCACCTCTGGGCCTCCAGGTCCATCAGCTCCCTTCGTTGGCCAAGCTGCATCCGTGGGGTTGCCACGGTGTCCTCAGGTATAGACACCTCCCCTGACAGGAGGTCACCTGACATCCTGGCCAGTGACAGCAACTCATGCCGACTCTGACACCGCAGTGCCCAGAGACCGAGGAAACTGGGGAAAGATGAAAGGCTGGTTTCCAGTTTCTTAAAATGAACAGTTCTGTATTTTAAACTTAGTAAATTATACAGAGAGAGAGGTCAGGTTTATATCTTATGCCAGGCAGTTCTCAGGTTATTTATGCTTGGGTGGGCATTTGCTTTTAGATTGTTTCTTCTCAGAGAAATTAAGGACAGCTCCTCCCCACTGCACCCTTCACCAAAGCCCTTGTCTGTTCTCATCACTTTCTGGGTTATACTGTAATTGTTCCTGAATGGGGCTTATGTCCCCCAATAGGTTACAAACTGCCCATGGGTTGGAACCACATCACTTTCATCAGTGTCCACCGAGCACCAGCAGGAAGATTCAGGGTGGAGAGGTAGAGCACGGAGAGTGTTTGGGAAGCATCTTATAATATCCCCTAGCTGTGGAAGACAAACGCAGGTGTCATGCTGTAGTCAAGGCAGAGTTTAGCAGCTCAGTGAAACGGGCCATTCCTCCCGAGCAGTCAGTCATGATCAGGATTGAGTCCTGCTCCCTATTCGGTGATGACTGGGTGCTCTGTCCGTTTAGGACTTTCAGATTCCTGAGACTTGCATGTGTGTGTGTACATGTGAGGGAGACGGAATCATTAAGCAAGTGTCTGTAGGTGTTTGAGGATCTCAACAGCTTGCCTATAGTATTCAGTGCATGTGTATCAGAGTCTGAGAGGAAAAGCGCCATTAGATGTGACATGGGGCAGGGCAGGAGCATGGCTGGGGCATCCCGTGTGGTCTCGGCCTGCACGGGTCCTTTGGGCTCTGGCTGGGGATGGGGGCCTGGATGGGCAGCACCATAAGCCGTTTCTCTGCTCCTGGGCGGTGGCCCCACAGAAGGTGGGTGAGTCCCCTGCAATAACGGGGCCTTGTGCGGGAAGGTGTTTTTCAGAGGCATCACGGTGAACGCTGTGCGGGGCTTCCCCATGAGCGCTGCCATGTTCCTTGGGTACGAGCTTTCGCTGCAGGCCTTCCGCGGGGACCAGGCGGTGCCGAGCTCGTGAGTGCAGGTCAGTGTGCCTCCTGCCTGGCCAGACCACCTCCTGGAACTTGGAACTCTTCTTTGCTATGAGAACATTGTGGCCTTCTGAAATGCCCCTCTGTCATTTGCTTCACATCTCGACTGTGGGAGCTCTGCGGCTGGAGTTGCCACCTTCTCACCATCAGACAGCAGTTCTGGAATGCCCACCGGTGATTGCTGGTGTGCCCGGCCTCAGCACCTGAGTCGGCACAGGATTTGCCTGCATATAGCCAGCTCAGCTATCCGTTTTCCCAGTCAGCACTTCAACAGCCCGTGGAGAGAAGTGCTTTTAGCTTCAGTGTACCTAGGCCCAGAAGTCAGGACTCGAACCAGGGTGCCCGCCCCCTGCCCATAGTGGGCCCAAACTTCAGAGCCTGAGTCTGAGAGCCACGAACGGGCTCCCAAAGTCCAGAGGACAGGTCTCTGCCACCATTCCTTGCCTCCCACACCCCCTCTTTTTCATTTCTCGCTGTAGAAAGATCATTGCAGTCGGAGGGACCTTCTACAAACAGAAATCTGAGCAAGTGACTCCATGGCTCAAATGCCCTCAGTGGCTCCGCATTGCCCTCGAGATAAAGCCTGTCCTTAACCCTGCCTCCTTCTCCAGCCTCCTTTCTCGCTGTAGAAAGATCATTGCAGTCCGAGGGACCTTCTACAAACAGAAATCTGAGCAAGTGACTCCATGGCTTAAATGCCCTCAAGTGGCTCCGCATTGCCCTCGAGATAAAGCCTGTCCTTAACCCTGCCTCCTTCTCCAGCCTCCACCCTGAGCTTCTCATCCTTCCTGTCACCCCGGGGCCTTGGCTCATGCTGTTCTCTCCGCCTGACGCCCTTCTCCTGCTCCTCCCCCTTGTCTGTGGCTTCACGAACTCTGTTGTCCAGTTGGTGTAGAGGTCTCCTCCAGGGGGCCTGCTTGGTCTCCCACTGGGATGAGTGTGCCTCACACCCCCCACTGCATCATGAACTGCCTGGTGCACAAGTGGCCGCTCAGCCACGTCATCCGAGGGGTGGGTGAGCGACCTACAATCTCCTCCCAGGGCCTCCGCTTCCTCCTCTTGCTTTTTCTCCCTGGTTTTTACTTCTCTGGCTCCAAAATGCTTACCTGCAAAGTTCAGAAGACACAGTGGGGTGAGTCGCTGAACTTTCTAGTCCACCAAGAAATAATTTTACTTCAATCTTGGTTACTACAGTTTCTCCCAAGAAACATGGTCTTCATCAGGAAGGTCTAGAAAACCTCCCTGTTGCCTCCCCTGTGGGCTGGCAGCGGTGTTTGGGGACAGCAAAGTCCTGCTGGGATGCGTGGGCAGTGCCAGATCCTGGATGACGGGAGAGGGCACAATCAGCCAGGCTGACTATGCTAGCCCTACAAGCTGGCTTTACATGCAGTACTTTTAGCTTGTTACTAAAGCACCGACTGCACAGATTTCCTGGTTTCCTGCCCCCCCCCTTTTTTTTTTCTAAAAGGAAAAGGGTAACAACACATTTTGTATAATCAAACATCTTGGGTAAAGAGTTACCACATTTGGGTGATGTCCACAGCAGGGGAGAGAAGTTGTCTTGTTCTTAAGCTGTGTTCAGATAGCAGCCCTTTCAGCAGATAAAAGTAACTTTAAAAAAAATCCTATAATTAAATCAATGCACTTTTATTGTAGATAACATAGAAAATACAAATACACAGAAAGAGCGAGATAAAAATACCTGTAATCACAAGACCTCGTTATTATTTTTCCAAGTGTTTTTACATGTATCACAGAATTGGGATCCTACTTTATACAATGTCTTCCAACCTTCTTTTCCTATTTAATAGTTCAGTATTATTTTTCCATGTCACTCAATCTTCAGCTACAGGATGGTTTTAATGCCCAAACCCCACAGGTCCCAGAGTGGCTGGACTCTTGCCAAGCCCGTCATATGCTGCCATTTGTGACCCCCTGTTGACTGGCTACTTCAGGAGAAGTTTCTAGCAGTTGATGCCTCCCTCATCATCTAGACCAAGGGCAGAGTGACGATGTCTAGTAGAGGACTAGGGGGCCCTACAGTTCCTAAGAAGTGGCAGATGGCAACTAGCTCCAGAGTCCCTGGGCACAGGTGGCAGGAACAACATGAGAACTGTTTCCATGTGCCTGCAGGGAATAGAGGACCCAGCTCCAAGCAGCATTTGCGTTCCTTCCATCACCACCAACAGAGCTCTCCCCCAGATCCACAAAGTCCCATGCAGGAAGATCACTTCTTTTCATTCATCCCTTAAGTTATTCCTTTCCCAGGCTACACATAGTAGTGACCCAAAGACAATTGGGAGACCAGTAAACACTGCATAAGGTAGTTGTTTTGTGATTTGGTTAATTTTATCTGTCCACGTAAAGAAACCAGAATCAGACAGTTCAAGGCAACCTTTGGTGGTGGAAGAGGGGTCCCAGCCCCTGGCTGGCGGCCAGCTCCTAGGCCCGTGGCATCCCAACCTGCCTGCCAGGACCCTGCGCCCAGAATCTTCCTGGAAAAGTGCTGGTCTGCCCTCTGCCCTGACATGCATGCTCAAACCTCATTGGCCTACTTTCAAATTCAGGAAAACTCATTTTCAAGGAGAGGAGATTCATTCTTCCTATGATCTCTGTTTTGAACATTTACAGATAGCTGCAAACAATGCTCATGCCCTTCATCCGTCTGTGCTCATGGCAACACTTTGCCCATTGGTGCTTCAAAAAATGGTCTCCAAATGGGTTGTATGACTCTGGAACTTGCTGACTACAACTCTGGTTAGATTAAGTTCTTATCGTTCCTCCTTTTTTCCCAGGGCCAGTGTCACCTGACCAGAGCCTCATCCCACTACAGGTTGATGCTGATGGCATCTCTGGAACTCATGGTGCTGAATTTACTGAAAAGAAGAAAGGAAACTTGCCACCCCGGGCTCTGCGCCAACCGCCCTGACCTGGGAATCCCTCCCTTCCCAAAGAAAGCACTCTCCTTGCTGGGCCTGCTGAGCTGCTGCCATGGAAGGAAGAAAGGGACCATCAGTCCATTGATTGCCATTTATTTCAGCACTGCCCTAGCTCCTGGCAAAAATGGGGTAAATTGGACCCTGCTCTCATGATCCTTGTAAACTCATTGGGAATTCCTGGAGGAGCTGGAGTTGGCTCTAAGTTTCCAAATAAAAGCATTGAAAACCTCTTCAGGGTGCTTATGTCTCAGATGCCTCTACCTGGCTTCCAAGAGGCACCTGGCCACCATCATTCCTATCGCAGGTCAGGCACCTGCAGGCGTCCCTTGCTCAGAGAGAAACCCGCTTCATGCAGGTGGGGAGAGGAACTGGGGGTGACAGTCTCACTCCTTTTTCCCCAGAGGCCTAGGGTGGGCAGGGGAGCACGTGTGGTTGAAATGGGCAGTGGAGGGAGGGAAAACTTTGCAGGAACCTTCTCACCCTGAGCAGTGACATGTATGCATGGTGATGTGCTTGAGAGGTGGTGGCCCTGAGCTTGGGTGGAGTGGGTGTTCTCTGGGTCTTACTTTCACATGGAGAACAAAAAAAGACAAAGCAAAATATGCTGTCCACAGCCCGGTTTCATTGTTCTACATTTTATTTCCTACTAGAACCATGTGGGAAGTCCATTGCTAGTTTGCTGATATGTGGCATGTGTCCACGGTGTCACTCCCAGCTCTGTGCCTTCAGCAGGCATCCCTACTCAGTCATAGAGCCCTTTCTTGATGAGCTGAATGTATCTTCGGAATCCTCAGCATAGCACCCCAGGCAGCCTCCACTAGCCAGTCAGAACTGGCATACAAGATGAGTCTATTTGTCATCCCTGGCTTACATCCCAGTGAGGAAATGTCCTAAAATTCTTTCTTTCCCCCTCGAAAGGATCTTCCTTGGTTTCTTCATCACCCTCCCCGACTCCACTACCACCCTGCCTTTGAGAGATTTGAACTGTGTCTGAAAATCCCCTGCCCTAACAGACCCAAGACCAAAGCACCACTCTGGCACAAATTTGAAAGTGTTTAATCTCTTCAGTTTAAATCCTGCTACTGTAATAGAGGGTTCCCTCCTTAAAATAAAACCCTCAGTATGTCCTCCTCAGTCTTTCTCCTCACAGCTCCTGGTACTGTAGGGTCCCCCGGGCATCCCTGCAGGCTACAGTCCAAACTCTCCAACCCTCCAGCGGTGGGATATTCATTCATTCCTTTGTTCAGTCATCACACATTTGTTGAGCAGGTATGGTCCCAGGTGTTGGGAATAGCCAAAAAAGCTCCAGTGGTACTGGAGAGGGTCTACGGGCAGGGTTTGCCTGTCCACCCCAGCATCACTGGGCCTGGGCAGGCACTGTGGATACTGGTGGAAAGATGCTTCTGGTTCATCCCTGGGTGGACCTGAAGTCTGCTGTAGCACGTCTGATAGAGTTTGGATATGTTTGCCCCCCAAATCTCATGCTGAAATCTGATCCCCAGTGTGGCAGTGTTGGGAAGTGCTTAGGACATGGGGGAAGATCCCTCATGAATAGATTAATGGCCTCCCTGGGGGACAGGTAGTGAGTGAGTTCTCGCTCTATTAGTTCCCTCAAGAGCTGGTTGTTAAAAGGAGCCCAGAATCTCCTCTCTCTCTCTCTCTCTCTCTCTCTTCCTTCCTCTCACCATGTGATCTCCTTGCACCTGCCAGCTGCCCTGCTGTTTTCCGCCATCAGTAGAAGCAGCCTGAGGCCTGTGCCAGATGTAGCTGTCCCAGAATCATAAGCCAAATAAACTTTTCTTTATAAATTACCCAGTCTTAGGTATTCTGTTATAACAACACAAAAATGCACTAATACAACATCCCAGAACGTGTTTCTTGCATCTGCCTCAACCACACCATTTCTTAGTGCTGATCCTGATTCCCACTTTGTTTGGAGGTGGTGTTGTGTTCACAAAGCCAGTTGAGGTCTTCTACTGGATCCTCCTGATGAGGCTGAGTACAACCACCACCTTATTCAGGTGTCTGAGCCCTTCTCAAGTTCTCTTGATCATCTTGGTACCTCTTGATGACAGGAGGAGGTAAGCAGAGAGAAGCACTGCTGACACAGTTCATTGATGAAGACAGTGTGGCTCTGATGTACCTGAGGCCCTGCTGAGGACTTGGACTGCCAATCCCATTTGCTCACCTTCCTGAGGCTGCACTGCCCCTGCTGTCCAGCCCAGGGAACATTACCAGCTGCAATGGTGATGACCATTCATGATGTAAAAAAGAGGGAGTTGTTGGGATGTGTAAATTGCATCAGAGCTGCCCTTCCAGACTCACCTCCCATCAGTCTGTTCCAGGTTCCCTGTGCTCCAGCCATTTCCCCATGCCCTCTGGTGCCAGGCACACCATTGCCATTCAAATGTTTGTTGAAGGCATGACTGAGTGATCCAACAAACCCATTGGATTAGCTGCTGTCTGCCCACCACTCTCTAGGCTCCCCCACCTCTGTGCTTTCTTTAGCCTGTACACTCTTATGTAACCCCATCATCTCCAGGAACAAGAATGTCCTCCATTCTCCAAGGTCCAGCCCAGATGCTGCAACCTAGGGCTTCCGTGTTCTCCCTCTCCCCCAGCAACTTCCACTCACACGACCCTCATGGCACTGTGTCCACCTTGTGCTACAGTCCTGTCTGTGCGCTTCCTCTTTCTCACCTGCCTGTCCCCGCCTTGAGAGCCAGGGCTGAGTCTTCCCCATCTTCAGACTCTGCAGCAGCAATTATGGACAGTGTTGGGAATAAAGGAAAGCATAAATTTATGGAAAAAAAATGAAAGCATCACAATATTGAGAATTGTTTGTAATAATGAAAATTTAGAAACTTTCTAAATGCCCACCAACAGAAGAGGGGTTAAATGAATTGAGGTGCATTTGTACTCTAGATAATATCACATAGCCACTAAAAAGAATGAGCTAGATCTGACATATATTGTCATGGAAGTATTATGTCAGCAACATAATTAGTGCAAAATGAAGTGGCAGAATAAAATATATAAAGTTACTCATTTTCTTTTAAACGTATATATTATATATGCATAATTATATGGGCATTGAAAAAAGTCTGGAAGGATACACACCAAACTTAATAGTGGCTATTTCTGGGATGTGGGATTGGGGGAAGAGTTTCAGTTTCTACTGTAATGATGATGATTTCTTCGTGCATACTACAGTGTTTCAGTTTTTACAGTGAGCATAAATTGCTTTTATAATTTTTAAAAATAAAAGCACATCTTTTTGCAGAGCGAGGGGTCCATGCTGGGTACTTGCCCTCTAGGCTCCAGGCTGGCTCTGTGGTGCTGCCTACCCTCACTCAGCAAGGATCTAGTAACAAACTTTGATCTGTCCCTACCCTTCCCTGCCCTGCCCACCCCCAGGCTGGTTAGGCACCACCTCCAACACGCTTTCTAGACCCCCACCCCCACCCCCAAGAACACGTGACTGGAAATGAATGAAACTCAACTTAAATGAAGAAACTTGGCCTAAACCCAGACAAATATCATGTGGTAGCCAGTGACTGGGAGGGGTCAGCCAACAATGGCCCTGATTCCTCTTAGATTTTCCTGGGAAATCTTGTGAAATAATTAGGGCCAATAGTTTGGGGGTTTTCTTAAATCAACACATCATAGCCTTTCTCTCATAGGTGCCAGGGTGACAATGACCCTTGGGAAGCTTAGTATCAGGCATTGATGTCTGTGTCATCATGAAGAATATCTTTAAACAAATAGAACTCATTTTTAAAGAGAGGCTGAAAACAGAATAGAATTCCAAGCCAAGCACCAGTTTTGGTGTCTGTGTCCTGGAGTTGGAGGGCTTCAGATTTGATCAGTTTGTCTTAGTGGAAATAGTGAAAAAAAAATTACAAAAGTGGTCCCTTTCGGGCCGGCCCGGTGGCGCACTCGGTAGAGTGTGGCGCTTGGGAGCGCAGTGGCGCTCCTGCCGAGGGTTTGGATCCCATATAGAGACCAGTCTGCTCACTGGTTGAGTGCGGTGCGGGCGCGACACCGAGGGTTGCGATCCCGTTGCCGGTCACGAAAAAAGACAAAAAGGAAGAAAAAAAAAAAAGTGGTCCCTTTCACTGTTAAAAATTGTTGAGTGCCCTAAAGAACTTTTAGTTATCTACTAACATTTACCAGAAATTAAAACAGAATTTTAAAAATATTTATTCATTGAAAGTATAATAAACCCATCACATGTAAACATAAATAACATATTTTTATAGAAATTAACTATTCTTCCCAAACAAACACAATTAATGAGAAGAGTTGTATTGTTTTCCATTTTTGCTACCCTCAGTAATGTCTGACTTAAATAGAGTTTAAGTTTTAGTTGACTCCCCTATTTGCTTCTGCTTTCAATCTATATGACATCACCTGCCATGTAGCCTTTGGAAAACTCCATTGCACATTTGCGAGAAAATAAGAGTGAAAAAGGCAGATAATGTTTTAGTGTTACATGAACATAGTTTTGACCTCATGGCCCCCTTTGAGAACTGTGGCCCTGTCAAAAAAAAAAAAAATTCTCACCCAAAGGCTGAGAAAGGCTCCCTTGGCTGATATATCATGAAACTGCCACTTGGTGGCAGCAAAGTTCAACTAAACCCTCTGCAGGTCTCTCTCTCTCTCTCTCTCTCTCTCTCTCTCTCAGTCCCCCATCCCTAAACCCCCACATACATTTGGTAGTTCCTGAACTTGGCCTGGGTGATGAGAGCATATGCATGATTTTGTAAGCTTTTGCCCCCTCTGGGCCTCAGTTTCCTCATCTGTAAAATGGCCACGCTGACTCCCCTGGCCTACCTTTCTTGGTTTCAGTAAGAATCAAATGCAAAAGTAGTTTTATAAACTGTAAAGTGCAAAATGGGGTTGGAGGAAGGCAGGGGTTGGGGGGAACACGGTGTGATTTTTATGGTTTTTGCTCTCTGCTTGCCGCCTTCTCTGTGAATCTGGGTGGTTTGCCTTTTTTCAGAAGGTGGACACACAGTGGCAGCAGTGGTGTTCCCTGGGCCGTGTCTCTGCATGGGAAGCCCTGAGAGCCACAGATGTACATGTGACTTCTCAGCCTTCGGACTTCCAAGTGGACGTTCAGTAAGAGCACTTGGGGCAGGGTGGAAGCGGACACTGACGTGGCCTTCTGATGGTGAGGATGCCCGATAGGTTCAGGGTTCTCACCCCCAACACCTGCTCTTCCAGACCGG